GTGTTCTTGCCTTAGTCACTCTATGCCTGTTTGCAACGAGTCTTCCGGTTATTCTGCTTGTCTTTCTTTATCTCTATACACACTTTCGTTCAGTTCTTGTACATTATCTATACCTTCTTCATACTTTTTCCATATTTCTTTTCAAGCTCTCCATGTCCTTTTTTTTTCTCTTCCATTTATTTTTCATTGCCTCTTCTTGCCATCTTACATCATTCCTTCTTCTCTTCCTTGTTCTTTTCCATGTCTCTTCTTGTCTCGTTTGAACTTCTATTTCATTTACTCTTCATTGCCTCCTCCTAGTCCCATCCCTTGTCTCATCTTATCTTCTTTAGCTTAATCTCTTCCTTTCCTTCCTTGTTTTCTTCCTTCTATGTTTTCCTTCCTTGTTTTCTTCCTTCTACCTTTCTTCTCCTCATCCTTTCCTCATCTGCTTGCACAGTTTTCTCCTCGTGACAAAATATAAAGTGAAACATTTCGAATATTATTGTTTCATTTTATCGTAGTAAGTGTCCCCAGTAACCGATTGATTGACTGGTTGGCTTATAAATATTCTAATACGTACACTTCGAGCTAGGTGTAAGGCTTATAAATATATTCGGTTTCCTTTTACCATGAATATTTTTTTTCCGTTCAGGGTTCATTCATGACCCCGCGTCCACACAGTGGATGATATGACTTCACCAGCTTAGGTAATGCCGAGGTCAAGGGTCGCACCTCTCCGGAGTTAAGTCCCACTCTCTTCCCTTTAAAATACAACCTCTGACGGGACCCTACCTCAGCATCCCTCATCAAACATATTCATAAATATTACAAAAGCCTGAAACCCAACAAGATAATCATAAAATATCATAACGGCCTGATAACATCAAAGCTTAATCATACGTATACCTTAAGACACGAAATTACACGAGGACGAGGAGCCACTCATGACTTGTCAAGGGACGATTCACCAGCTGAATTTTTACACTTTATTCCCGAGTTCATAAGTCATGGGCACTTCCTCCACCATACCCGTGACCGTGCACAGAAACTAGCCCAGATGCGAGCACCTTTAAAGTCAATACACCATTACATTAAATACATCACATACATACCACCAAATAAATCCTTAGCACCCCCATGTCACAGTGACACTGTGACAGTGTAATCAACATAAGGTCGTCGACCTTACACCAGGACTTGGTTAAGCAACCAACATACAGTACACCCCTAGTTAATGAAAATGGTAGGGAATCAGCACAGCTACGCAAGCCAATAGTTACTCTACTCACTAGCACCATGGGAATTTCTGTCTCTCATAGCCTGTCAAGATTATAACTCACTACATAGAGTTCACTCAGTTGCATCCATTGGCCGCTGACTCCCGTTAACTTTACTTGAAGTTGAGTGACAGAGGTAATCCTGCCTCAGATCACCGTACAACCAGGTGTACGGACTCCAGGCAAATATGGACGAGTTTCCTCAGATTATATAGTTTAAGCTCCTACATTACCCCACATATGTACACTCCATAGCTTTGTTGTAGGGTAGTCGACAGATTCAACACTGGTCTCGGTGGTTCATCCACGTGTCGCACCCAACCTTCGTAGCGAGCGGACGTGCGCGTGCTCAGTTCAAATTGTTGACCTTACGACTGCCGGCCTTGTTTTCACGTTGGGTTCGCTCTGGCTGCTTTATCTTGTAGTTGTGCATGGGTATCTACCCTAGACCCGTCTTTACTCGCCCAAGAAGCGGACAGAAGAGCGGCATCCATGGGGTTTAGCTGAGGTGGACAGATTAGGTAGGATTTTCATGTAAGTTACTGACCATGGCCAAAGTGAGGTGAAGATCTCCGGAACCCCGACCTGGTCTCGGATAGAGATAAAAGGCTATTGAGCGACCTAAGGGTAGAATAAATAGACTTGTGGATCTGAGGTAGGTTACATCATCCTCACAGAAACAGATGAAGATGCTGATAAACTACTTAAATCTAGTGCCATGGACAAAATGAAACTAACGATTACGAGGTCATTGTCCTACGGGAACACGGCGCCAAGCTCACCCTTGTAGAAGTTAGACAAAGATGAGTGGAAAATAACGCAGAAGAAATAAAAGATGAAATAGAAAACAGAAGCAAGGGCAAGGTTGTGGAGGTGTACCCTAGTATGCCCATAATTTAATCAAGGTTCGCTTTGCAGACACAACGGATGCAAAAAGAATGAAGGATAAGCGGCTCTATGCATATGGCACTTCCATCTCATCACCAAATAGAATATGAAAAGTATACGGCCATCCAACAATGTATGAAGTGCTATAAACACAATGCCCACAAGACCAAGAACTGCCCCATGCAAGGGGTCATATACTCTGAGTGTTCATCTGATCAGCACTTCTAAAAGACTGCCGTAGCACCATAAAGTATGTCGTCTGCGTGGGTGGCCACGGACCTTCAGCGCCACCTGCCTGGTCAGGAAACATGTAACTCAAGAAACAGAGAAGAAACTGCCAAAATAACCAAGCAAAGAAACCAGGAAATTTCTAACACCATAGAAAGGACCACTCAGTCGACGATCGGCTTTACAGCCAAACCCTAAAAGACGCTCTGAAAGAAACTCAAGCAGACTCCCAAAACTCAACAATGTCAGCGAGACCATGGAAGTCCTGCATTCAGAGATAAGAACCATCAATGACTCAATAAAACAGGCAGTTCCTGAGTCACTGGGCGCCATGAGGGACGCAGTGGCGGAGAGTATCAGGGCGTCTCCTCTCCACAGCTGGACGGGTCAAAGACACCACTATATACTTGTCTTACCTGCATGCGCATCACATGAACATGGTTCATCCAGGTTCCTTCTCGAAACCTCAACGAGACACTAACCAGGAAAAACATTGCACTTGTTGAAATAAGCGACAAAGTCCCTTCAAAGGAAATCCTGAAGGCAGTAACCCACTCAACGACGTATCGACGACCTCAACCTACGCCAGAAATAGACCATGACCTCCCTGGCTTAGGCAAAAGTCAGTATAACCGGAGCCCAGACGTGGCCAGTCATTCCCCTGGGATCACAGCTCCAACGACACCGTAAATCTTCGTGACCCACAACGTTGGTGTGGCGCTGTATGACAACATCAGAGGAAAACTGCAACTCGGGGCAGATTTCCCGACATTGATCAGATGTGCCAGTGCCACAACA